TTTTGTAGTTTTAGTAGAGACACGGTTTCACCATGTTGGTCAGGCTGGTCTTGAACTCCTGACCTCATATGATCCACCCACTTTGGCCTCCCAAAGTGCTGGGATTACAGGCATGAGCCACTGCAACCAGCCAGGAAAGACTTCTAAGAGCAGGTGACATTAAAGCCAAAGTTGGAATGACAAGAAGGATGCACTGATCTATAGTGATCGGGGGAAGAGGCATCCAGTAGAGGGAATAGCAAGTGCAAAGGCCCTGAGGTAGGACCAAGCCTTGTGTTTTGACGGTAGGGAGGAAGCCAGTGCTGCTGGACAGAGTGAGCTGGGGGAGACGGTGGGAAAGGAGGGCACAGTTGGGCAGGGGCAGATTGTGTGGAGTTTTTTGGGCTGCTGGAAAGACTTTTTTTTTTTTTTTTTTTTGGAGACAGTGTCTCACTTTGTTGCCGAGCCTGGAGTGCAATGGCACCATCTCAGCTCACTGCAACCTCCACCTCACAGGTTCAAGTGATTCTCATGCTTTAGCCTTCCAAGTAGCTAGAATTACAGGCACGTACCACCATGCCTGGCTAGCTTTTGTATTTTTAGTACAGACGGGGTTTTGCTGTGTTGGCCAGGCTAGTCTCAAACTCCTGGCCTCAAGTGAGCCGTTCACCTCGGCCTCCCAAAATGCTGGGATTACAGGCGTGAGCCACTGCGCCCGGCCTGGAAAGACTTTAAATTTACTCTGAGTGTGATGGGAGTGATTGGCTGGTTTTAAATATGGAAGCGACGTGACCTGATTTATGAATTTAAGGGATTATTCTAGGAAGTATAGGTGCCCCTTGACTTGCAATGGTGTTACATCCTAGTATTCCCATCATAAATTGAAAAAACATAAGTTGAAAATGCATTCAATCTCCTGATAAACCCATAGTAGGATCAAAATTGTAAGTCAAACCATCATAAGTTGGGGACTTTCTGTATAGCAAAATGTTCATTGTAGAATCTAGGTGGCGGTTATATGGCTTAACAGCCATATAACTGTGGAATTCTTTTCACTTTTCTTTATGAAGATTCTCATAAGGAAATACGGTGGGGGAGGTGGTGAAATGATCCTGGCTGTTGGCCAAAAAGAGATCATGGGGTACAAAGGCTGAAGCAAGGAGGCTGGAGAGGTGGCACCTGTCAGAGTCTTGCTGAAAGATGACAAGCCCAGGCCCGGGTGGTAGCAGCAGAGGTGGGTGGGGGGGATTTAAAGAGGTGGGGTCTTGCTCTGTTGCTCAGACTGGAGTGCAGTAGTGATCATAGCTCACTGCAGCCTCAAACTGCTAGGCTCAAGCAGTTCTCCCACCTCAGCCTCCAGAGTAGCTGGGACTACAGGAGCATGCCACCATGCCCCACTAACTGTGGCATTAGCCTTTTTCTGTAGAGATGGGGTCTCGCTATGTTGTCCAGGCTGGTCTCCAACAGGGAGGGATATTTCTTTTTGGAAGTTTTGTTTGTTTGTTTGTTTGTTTTGAGACAGAGTCTTGCTCTGTCACCAAGGCTGAAGTGCAGTGGCGTGACTTTGGCTCACTGCAGTCTCGACCTCCCGGGTTCAAGCGATTCTCCTACCTCAGCCTCCTGAGACGCTGGGATTACAGGCGCTCCCCACCACACCAGCTAATGGGAGGGATGTTTCTTTTTTTTTTTCTGAGATGGAGTCTCGCTTTGTTGCACCCAGGCTAGAGTACAATGGCGCGATCTCGGCTCACTGCAACCTCCACCTCCTGGGTTCAAGCGATTCTCCTGCCTCAGCCTCCAGAGTTGCTTGG